AAAGAGTGGGATGGAATAATAAACCTATTGTGTAGATTATCATCAATAAACTCTCATAGAGCCTTGAGTTTGGATTCTGAGAGGGAATAAATAGGTCCAAGTGGTGGAGATGTTCCTTTCTCAAGGTTGATTTTGAGGTCATACAGCCTGTGTTCAGATAGCTTTTTGGAGAGGGTATTGCTGAAGACATCTGCAAAATCATGGTACTCTACTGGCACTGATGAAAGATCTGCTGGTTCTGCAGATGCAGCTTTAGCTCCAATATTAGGCAAGAAAGGCTGCAGTGTGAACTGCTGAGCACCTTCATCTGCATTGGCTCAGAAAATGCAGCAGCAGATATGATAGAGATCTTTGGATGTGCTTTTGTAGTAAGAGACTCTGAGAGGGGATAGGAATAGATAGGTTCATACAGAAACAGAGCCTGCTGGCTACCTGGAGGGGATTTGGAATAGGGTGAAGCCCCAGAGGTTGGACTGATGGAGTCCAGTGAGCATGAAAGTCCCAGAGATGTAGTGGAGGCCACAGAATTGATTGGAGTGGGATCCTGATCATTTGAACAGAAAGTGATACTGTTCTCAGCTCAGTCAATTGGTGGATTATAGCAAGAGAGTCAGTTATATTCTAAAACAAGATTGCAAGATGAATCCAGACAAGTGACATAGAAGTCAATGGGGAAGGTGTCTCCAGAAGGGAAACAGATAGGGATGGTTGTGATTTGAGATATGCAGCTTCTGACAGAGCCATCAAATAATTGGAGTTGCACACTAGAGATGGTTTTAATAGGAATATCATTGACAGCTATGTACTTAGTGTCAACAAAGCAGTGGCTAGAACCAGAATTAATAAAAGCAAGAAAACACAGAATAGTAGAAGTTGGGAACCTGTCAGGCTCTGTACTAGTCAGTAATTCTGCTAAAAGTGGAAGATAGAAGGATTGGTTGGAAACAGATATTGCATTGAGAGTGATGATCTCCAGTGTGTGAATAGAGTCAATGCAACTCTGAACTCACATGGAGAGAACAGGGTTGCTTTTTAGTTTTCTGACTCAGTTAGAGCCAGTTCCTCAGGAACAATGTCTACTTCAGCTGCATGACCCTTGGTGGAAGCCACTGTCTTCTGCTTGCTGCAATCCTTAGTCTTGTGTTTGGCTCCACAGAATATGCAAAGGTTGTTCTGGCACTGATAGTCTTTTTCTTCTTGAGTAAGATGGCCATCTTTGTCCAGTTTGTCAGCATAGAGCTTAGGGATGGTAGATTTTGGTGTGGAGCTGAAGTCCAAGAAAGGAGAGTTGGACCCCTTGGATTTGGGGCTGGAGGATTGGTTGGAGGCCTTATTATCCTGGTTTTCATGGGCAATTTTAGTCTTCCAGGTCCAGTAGCAAGTATCAAGTTCTTAGGCAGAAAAGTGCATGTCATGGAGGTTGTTTGGCTTCCTATGGTGGACCATGTTATCCTTGATGCAAGTGCAGAGGCCATAGTAAAAGACATGGCAGAGGGAGTTATCTCCATATCCAATTTGTGAGGTATACAGATTGAATTGGACTATATACTTCATGATCTGGTCTCTATTGCATATCTGAAGGTGTTCTAATGCATCTTTGGCATCTCTGATAGCATTGAAGGGGCCAAAGTTGCTATGAAACCCACTCAAGAAAGCCACGTAGAAGAATTGCCAGGCTGGTAGATTCCATAGATTGGGGTTAAGAATGTCTGGTTTGAACCAGTTAAGCACAGTGCCAGCCAGGAATAAAATGGCATAGTTGATCTTGCTAGCATATATTGTGAATGCAGTAGGTCTGTCATTGAAGTTCAACTGAAGAGAGACAATAAAGGCCTTCAGTTTGTGAGAGTCAGAGCCATCAAAGAGTTCTGGTTTCTTGACTTTGGTGCAAATAGTGGCTGGTTTGGGATTATTGAGGGAGGTGGAGACTCCTCATAATAGGTTCATGAATTCTAAGAACATGTCCTGCTGGTTTGGATTGCTGCTTCCTGTGAGGCTGTTAGAGCTGCCTAGGCCATTGAGACCATCTGGTCCTTCTGGCCCTCCTGGAAAAGGGTTTGGTGGGTTATCACCTGGTTCCTGTCAGATGAGAGTATGAGTAGGGGTGTCTTCATCTCTGCCCTCTGAGTCTGAGCTTTCTGAATTCCCATGCATATTGCCTAGGGATAAGAGGTCTATCAGGGAGTTAGTTCAGATGCTGTATATCAGGCTGACCCATCAGGCTCTGTTAGTTAGGATGCTGATAGCATCAAAAGGGTTAAGGGACTCATTATAATTAGGTTGGTGGGCAGTGAAGCTAGAGTGGATGTAGGTTTCCCTATAAGAAGGTTGTCCTCCATCAGAGGCTGATCCAAAAAGGCCTGATTGTTCCTTTGAGATAGAGGCTGGGATGTCTTCCATGGAAAACATGTTGTGATGAGTAGGCTGGATTTGTTCAGAGTTGGCTTCTGTGGGTTCAGTAAATGTGATAGATATGATAAAAATTTTTGACTCAAGAGTTTGAGTTTGAATATACTGTTAGGAATGTGCCAATCAATTGGACTTGAGTGCATGCATAGAGACTGGCAGAGTGCATGGGCATCAACAAAGCTATTGGCAATGTCACCCTTGAGTCAGAGTCTAAGGATTTGGATGGACAGAATGGAGTTCCATCAGAGAGGTGAAGAGGAATATCCTTCAGAGCAGAATCTGATGGATAAGGTAGAGAGGAGCTGAAGTGAGCATGAAACATAGATGGCTATCCAAGTTGATATTCAAACTGAGTAAATATGATGTTTGTACATAGTTTATATACTATTAGTAGCTAATTCTGAGATGGGGTCCATTGGGATCTAGTGTTGACTATTCACTATCATGTTCAGAGTCTAGATACTAGTGTGTGAAATACAAATATGAAATAGTAATGATAAAATAAAATTAGTGGTTAATGGAAAATGAGCAGAGTCCAGTGGGACTTGTGTTTGAATTCATGGTTGGTTGAGGTAATGTGGAGGCTGGCAGCATGCATGTAACAGGCAGATCATACACTACAGTTGACTATTTAGTCAGTTGGAAGGATTATGGCCCAGAATCTAATCAGTGGATCAATGAATGACATAGGGCTACAGCTGATACTATCTGGAACTATGAACTCTCTCTGGAATAACCATCAGAACAATGGTCTTAAGGGGGAGAAAGGGGTAATGTTATAATTTTTCTTTTTTCTTTTCTAATTAACCTCTATTTATGCTTAGTCAGAGTGCTTAACTAGATGCTTAGGATCATGGGACATGCTTAGTCACTATAATAGGCAGAATTGACCATTATCCTTTGACAATGACAGAACCCCCCAATGACAGACAATACTCTTTTGTAGGTAGTAGCAATGCTCAAGAACAATGAGCATGGTAGCATAGAAACACACAATTAGTACATATATTTTTAGTCAACTCTTGGACAGTATATAAGTAGTATGGCTCTTGCTGTAGATACCCAGCTTCAAGCTAAAGTTTATTCTTCACCATTCTACCTCAAGCCAACTCATATTGGCCTTGAGACACAACACCACATAAGTACATACAGTAAACTTAGGTATGACTGTACAAACTCAATATAGCACCTATTTATTACATGTTTAGATCACATGTCACTTGGGCTTAACAGAAACTAATATATTAGATGTCTCTTAGTAAGTACAGTAGTAGCCTATTTAAATATTGCATTGTAAAAAGTAGTAGAAAAGTTTCTGACCTCCCACAGTTGCAGTGTATGGAGCATGAAGGTTTTGCACTCCAGCTCTGGGTTTGTGTTTATAACTTCAGGCAAGAGAATAGACTCTTTGTCGATATCATTAAGAGAGATCTGAGAACTGTGTGAGGCATAAAAGCTTGCATGAGACTCTAGTTCAGTTTAATAAGAGGTTTTGAATTGTGCCTTAGCCTGAGAATAAGAGAGCAGTGTCTGAAGGGCACTCTGTTGAGTTTTCAAGGTATTTGTGATGTGAGGCACTACAGGTGGCAGAGGTTCAAACCCTTTAGCTTATAGATAGGGCTTTTTCTGGTTATTTCTGCAGGTTGGCAAAGGTTCAAACTCTTTGGCCTGTGGATAGGGTTATTTGTGTTATTTCTGCAGATTAGCAGAGGTTCAAACCCTTTGGATCTGTGGATAGAGTTTTATTGTGTTTTTATGTCTCTGGATCACATAGGTTTGAATCCTGTGAGTCTACAATTGGTTTGGAAACTTGTGCACAGAAGTTTGCACTCTTTGGCACTTGTAGATGTATTTGTAAAGTGTTTCTGCTTAGAACACCAAGCTTTGAGTCATGTATTGTGTGTATTAGGGATTTTGAGTTGATCTTAGCAGTGCTTGGGACTTTTGAGAGCTTTGTGAGAGTGTTTCAAAGTATTGTATTGAGCTACAGTACCCTTGCCTTGAGGCCTGGCAACATTTGTTGCCACCTCTTATTTTTAAGTAAAAAGCTTTGAGACTTAGAGAGATCTAGGACTGTTATATGTGCACTATTGCTATTCATGTGCAGTGGATCATTGAGAAGACAATTACATTTGTGGATGACTATAGACTATCAAGTAAGCATTATGGTCAAAATGTGACATTTTATCTATACTCACCTGACATCCAAAATGAAGGAAATCACAGCAAAACTGCTGTCTGGAATCCCCTTGGACTTCTAATACATAGTTGTGTGAAGCAAAATGCCAATGGGGCTCTGTGAGTGCCTCTGCTGTTCTTGCTGACTCAGCTATGATGTTTTCTCAGAAGGAAACCTGGCCCGGGGATGGGTTTGAGCAACACTTTGAGTCCGAGGACACCCCTAGGCACATTATCATTGGAGCCAGATGGAAAGGGGATAAAGCGGTAGCCACTATTGGTCTGATGACTTTCTCATGTACGACTATCACCGTCCACGTTCAGAATTAGCATGGATATCTATCGGATTCGTTTGTGGATTGTCGATACCTTCATAAGTGGTGTTAAGAGGTATGTAACTCACTCGGACAACTGTTATGTGAGTATTCTTTCTGGAAAGACGCTACACCATCTGCTGGGAACTATATATACATGTTAACATCTCCACTGTCAGGCTCTGCCTTCTTAGTAGTATGGGACCGGTTTATTCTCCTTGGCCCAAAGCGCCGCAATCTCGGTGTTATTCATTGCATGAGGAGGTATGATTCCATTCTCCCTCCACAGTTTTGGCTTATGACTGGATAAGCATAGATGCGCCAATCTGAAAGCAGAGGACTCACGTCGGAATCATTTATTTCAACTTCCCAGTCAACGCCACGGGCTTTGGTAAATGGCGCAATCGTCTCCTCGTACACGTTCATGAATTTGGGCTTGTCTTCATCACTATGTTCGCATTCAGACATTATCAACAAGTCAGCATGTCAAAGTCAATAAACACATACGTCGCGAACTGTTTCGCAAGGTGATGGACTACTACGCGGACAAAATTGTCTCTGGCCTTTCCACCGACGAAATAACCTTGTCTGGGAACCTCGACGAAGAGAACTACGACGTAGAACTCGGGGAGGCCCCTTCTGGCATATAAGTTCGTAATAGCCTTGGCCAGAGCCTGCTTGTCCTCGTCTGAGTAAAGGTTAGGGGGTACATAGAATCGATGAAGAGGCATGGTTGCTTCTGAATTTGAGCATCGGTTGCGTTTTTCCTTCGTTTTAAATGTCTTTACATGTCTCACATACTCAATGCAATTGAGCCTGGCTTAGGAATCTGACCGAAGTATGACTGTGCCGGAAAGCCTATTTTGTAAGAGGAATGTAATCAATCGGAGTGCCTGCCCGAGGCAGTCTCAGTGCCTATAAAGTAACGGCCCCACTCATTTCAAAGTTTCAGACATGCATTCATCTATGGCTTCAGAAAGGATTCTGGTATGCGATCCTCTATAATGTCATTGATGCCGCGCTCTCACCGCAGTAGGTCACTGGCGCAACAGGTTTTTTGGGCAGCCATGTCGTTGTCAAAGCTCTTGAGAGTGGGTACTCAGTTCGGGGGTTAGTTCCGAGTTCGTTCCTGAACGCCTATCGTGCTAACCGCGGCCTCGCAGGACTGTGAGATCGCCGTCCAAGGCCCAAGAAGTCCTCACTTCCTGGTCATCCTATGGTAATAGATTCGATACGGCAGTGGTGCCAGATTTGGTGAATGGAGATTATTCCGAGGCTTTGAAAGGTGCCTCTCGTTTTCAGGCTATACATTCACTGTGGGGTCTCACTTCGCCCAAGGTATAAGTGCCGTCATTCACGTGGCGTCGCCTTTCGTCCGGAGTGTGGACGATCCTAAAAAGGACCTTCTTGATCCCGCGAGGCAAGGGACGGTCAAGGTTCTGGAAGCATGTCTCAAGCATGGTGTCCGACGTGTTATTGTAACAGGAAGCATCGCTGCAGTCCTTGACCCAACTAAGGGTGGTAAGCTGCCTGTATCAGTTTACCGTCGATCTGTGTGACCTTCTGATCCAGGTCTTTGGCGTGACTATACTTATACTGCAGAGGACTGGTATGGCGCAGCGGTTCTGTCAGGGTCACAATATAGACTCACTGAGACACCAGGAACCCTTTAACCTACGAGCAGGCTGTTTCTGGCGCGCTTCCTGGAATGGCTGTTTACGCTGTTTCCAAGAAAATCGCCGAAGAGGCCGCCTTTGAATTCGGCCGCGAGCATCCCGAGATGCGCATTACCGTAATGAGTCGTACGCACGTCCCTACACTATCTCCACTGCCGCTCCGTTCATTCTCCATTTAGCTACCATGATATATGGTCCCCTTGTCCTACCTGCGGACCTGTCGGCCTTGAATACCTCATCCCAGGATATATACAATCTCATCAACGGCAAGCTGGAGAAGACAGCGTCACCTGCATACGCTGATGTGAGAGATGTCGCCACGCTCCATGTCAAAGCTCTGAAGGTCGATTCGGTCATTGGGAAAAGGGTACTTGTCAATGGTGGCACGTACACATTTTATGAGGTACAGTATTAGTTCATCCCGAGGTCCGCCTGCTAATGTATTACTTAGGCGGTGAATATCCTAAGGGAGAAACGGCCGAATTTGGCTCACCGCTTGCCATCGTTAGATGTTGTTGAAGAAGTTAGGGACGCGCCGGCCAAAGTCGACGTTTCTATCGCAGAGACTGAACTTGGAATCAAGTGGATGTCGTTCGAGCAGTGTCTTCTTGATACTATTGACGAGTTCATCACGATGGAAACGGCCCAAAAGATCTAGTAAAACCATGTACAGTATTTCAAGTCGTATTCACGAAGTTTTTTTGGCGTCAGGGCTGCGACTGCTCATCTACATGTTAGCTTGACCATGAGAAAGAGATATAAGCATTCGCATTCGCATTTCGTTACATATGCATGTATAACAGAAGTAACTTTGATACCAAAAAAAAAAACCTTGTTTGCTGAGACCCCAAGACCAGCCCTCATTCGTCTACAGCAAAGAAAGGGAGATACAGGATCCATCAGACGAACGCTCAACTCGCCGGCAAACCCTCCGAACGAATCATACAAGCACATCCAGAGAGCCCGCCAAACGTCCTCGAGACCCCCCTCGCGGAATCCAATGCTCTCAGCAGAGCGAGCAAGCATGATTGTCATGAAAGCCACTAGTGTGACAACATTTCCGAATTCATCTTTCGTCGTGAGCACATGAGCACTCTTGCCGAAGCTCACGAAATAGCTTCCATCCTGCTTGCGCGTCCTAAGATTTCCACCCCCAAGGAACCCATCAGTATGTGCCATTGCTTTGTGTTTCATCACAATTATCCGACACCGCCCATCCAGTCCTCATCGGCAGTAAAAACGGTGCGGAGCCTAAGAAATCGAATCTGGAGTGAAGGTGTAGTAGGCCGGTGTATTACGGCGAGTAATGTACATGCCAGGGACTCAGCCGACTTTCTAACGTATTGCATTATGGTACAAGGAATGAGTGATGATGCGACGATACAAGTGAGGAAGGGAGCAGAGGAATTATGCAACATAGACAAACGTGTCTTTCCGTCCTTCAACTCGATCTATGTACTCCTTCTCCAAAAGGGTCTCTACGGCCTGGTGGGAAGAATGTATGTAAGAACAGGTATTTTTCGATATGCCTAACGGGACCGCACCTTGTTGATATCAGGAATCTTGGGAGCGAAACGATGAGAGATCAGGGAAATGACTTCCTGGATCAGGGCTTGGTTTTTCATCGTCTTACGGGCTTTCATGATTCTGCAATACCGTCAGCGTATGGAGAACGCACAGTGCGAACTGTACGTACCGAACAATAGTAGCTTGGATAATGTATTTCCTGTCTTCGTCGATGGCCTTAAGGACGTCAGAAGACTCGGCCTTCACTTCAACTTTGATTGGCTGATTCAAATTGACCCGAATCTTCTTTGACTTGAAACCTGAAGAGAGAAAATAAGGACCGGTCAATGAAGCGAAGGTGCGAGCGGAACCCATCACGAACCAGAGTTCAAATCGTACTGGTCCTTCTCCTTATTGACGAGAATCTTAACCCTCACCAACAACGCCAATACCTGGGACAGGATGTCCTCGCTGATCGAGGTCGCCGCAGACAGCCCATCCAGGGATAACGTGTCGTTTCGGTTGTATTGAACAAGGACGGCCATCTGGTACGCGCTAGTCATCAAGATGTATTTCTGGTTCAGGTAATTAGTTCGCAGTTCGTTCTTCGAGTAGTTCTAAAGCCATGTCAATTTACGACCGGAGTGTTTACTCTGGTAGTACTTCGTGAAACGTTCATAGGTAGGCATGATCTCGACGGGAATGGTAAAGTCGTGAGTCGGAGGGTTGAGAGGCCAGATGTTAGTACTGAGGACCACGACAGTGAAAGTGATGTCCATATCATCGTGGTTCTGGGCCATCCGCTTCTTGAACGAATCCGTAAGATCCTTGCTCAGACTCATGTCTATTGTGGGCATCGGTTAGTCAGACATTTTGTACTGGCACAAATACAACGAACCGGTGAACACGCGTTGGAGCTTGTTGCTGTATTCGAAACCGCAAGCCTCCTTCAGTTTCAATATCATGCTGGCTTCGCTCTCATCAGAAGCAGACACGCCTTGAATGAGTCGCTTGGAAAGTTTGGTGGTGTAGAACTTTTGGAAGACGTCCTTGTCTTCCAGACACTTGAAGAGAACCATCTACAAAGGACCCAATCAATACAAATCCAAAATTGGCTGAACGAGGAACCACACGGTTAAGCGCGCTCTCCAGATCTCCTTCAGCCATCTTGTTGTTCCTCCACAAAAGTATATCCGCGTGTTCGGCGAGCAGCTCGGCCGACTTGGTCGATGAGGATCCGGTGGCGGCATTACGGTTGACAAACTCTTTGCACGCCTTGTCGAGACTGGCCGTAAATCCAACTTCCCCTCGAAAACTTCGAGTAACAGTTTCTGAGTTCTTCTGATGAACCTCCAGCAATGCGTCCACGTATATCTTGGGGTCAACATCCACGGCACTGCCCTCTCCCACCAGTTTCGAGATCACTGATAGACCTGCTTGCTTGACGTGCACCTCGAATCGCTTCCTCAGCGGATCCAGTCCGTCCGAAATACATGACAACAGTGCGTATATACGCTGGAGGTCTTCGCCTTGATCAAAGTCCAGGAATGGTAGGAAGTAGTCCCACATCAATTCGACATACTTCTGAATCAATACTTTGCGTGTCTTGGTGTGCAGATATCTTTCTACTCGGTCCTCCTCCTCCCATAGACACTCATCTGCCTTGTCCAGATAATCGGAAACTGTATTCTCGGCAAGGAAAGCTTCTGACTCCTTCTTGTAGGACTGATCGGTGGCTTTGATGAACTGCGGTTCAATGTACTCCTTGTACACTTCCAGACACTCTTTGTTGAGATCGAAGTTGTCGAGGCCAAAGGATACGAAAAACAGCACCACCTTCCTCACAAGCCCCCGGTCAATCATTTCGCCGTTCCTTTGACGTTCGACAAGGCAGAGGACAGTTTTGGCTAGCTTCTGATTATCCGTTTGTATAAAAACGAAAAATTGCGATTTCTATTGAGCGAGAGAAAGCTAATAAGAGATGATGTCAATGGTAACGGCAAGACTGCTGGCCGCCACCACTTACCGTATACACAGAATATATCTCTTTCCTCCCCTCATCACGCTGTCGTAGGATCCAATATCGATTGAGATAGGTGAAGAGACGGTTGAGGTACTTAGGGCGATCGCCGTGGCGTGACATATAGGACGAACCTGCTTCATAGAGGCGAAATGTATCGTGAAGTATTCGATTATCTTGTGGTACAACTCGGATCCTGCCATATTGGCGCCCGCTGCATAGTTGTTAGCATGAGTGTGGCACTACTACAAGTTCGAACTTACATCGATTTGAGCTGCCATCGCTTTTGTTGTCACCAACGCCTGCCGTCTTCGTCGTCGTGCAGTAATTGTATGTCACTGTGTACAGGGTGGCGTAGTAGGCAAAAGTAAGACCAGCCTCGAGATTGGACATGATATGGTCGACGCCTGGGTTGAGGAATGCCCATGTCTCTTCTAAGCCCACCGTCTTAGGAAGCATCTGGGCGAATCGGTTGACTGAAGATGTCGTCGAGGGCACCATGGTGGTCAGCAAGGTGGTATCGTAAGTGATAAGTGAAGCATAAAAATAAAGGTGTTGTGGGAGGGGGGACCCGTGATCAAGAACCACCACCATATGGAGTTTCAGCGTCTAGCCACTGCAAGCCTGGGATTCTGCTCGTCAAAGCATCGAGAAGGATAATAAGCTGTTACTGCACCTTTGATGGTCAGGAGAAACGTCTCGTAGTCTTGAGACGTCCCAGATATTCTGGCAGGAGCCTCCAACTACATTTATGTAGTAGTTAGTCGATATACTCCAATGCCAACCCCTCGGGCATCCTATCTTTGCACGCCCTCCCCAGTGTCCGAACTCGAGCCACTAGCCGCTGAAACAGTGGACGCGTGTCAAACTAGCTATGATGTTACGTCACGCGAATCACACTCAAAGACCGCACCCAACGTCTTCACCTCGAGACACGAGACGATGGAACCGTATCACTAGGTCCAAGAGAGGGAATCGGCGATGGATAGTGATAGTCTCAGTTGTAGCTACGGACAAGCGGGAATCTATGGCAATGTGACACGTGATCTGGGAGTAACCGGACCGTGCCAACGCTCTCAACGAAATGAACACCAACGTACCTTCAAGTTCAACACGATATCGACGACCCACGCGAGTACCGCGAATATACTGGAAGAGTGCCACTCAAACAGAATTCATTTCTGCCACCCGGCAATAAGCCGAACAAAGGATGCTGACGATGCCACCGCCCTTCCGCTTGAGGCATACCTTAGCTACGTTATATACGGGATCGGCGGTAAATCAAATACTAAGCTCGTAGGTAAATAAGGGTAAGCAAAAGGTCTCGGGGCATCGACTCGTTACAACTTGGTTAACCGGATTCTTGCCAAGGAGTTCAGCTATCCTCTCCTTGATTCGTTCCAAAATTCTTAGGATCAACGAGCAATCAGCCATCCAATGACTGAAATATTTGGCAAGGTAGTCGTTGGTGGGAAGGAGGGAACTGGCGTAAGAATCATGCTGCTTGACGAATCCGTATAGGGCATGTTCTTCGCCGTTCATTATGCAGTCCCGTCCCGTAGGAGGTTCAGTTTGCAGTGCTCGGAGGATAGACCATGAGTTTATGGGCGATGGGCGAGGGCCCCCACATAACTCTTTCCATCCCCCTAAATCCTTAGGAAGGAACGCCAACCCTCCCTACCCCCGGGGCGCCTTCCATGATAAAGGCTCCTGTGTTTTCTCTCTTCAATAATTCGTGCGCGTTATGAAGATATTGTTGATTTACATCAGAAAGCCTGCGGTAGTCGTTGATCTCCAATTTTCAGATATGCGGGATTCTCTTAACTTTCGTAAGGCGGCGGGGGGCCCTATCGAATCAGGTACATGTCCCTAACCAAGAAGATAACAATCGTCCTGGAATCCTCTCTCGAGCAGGACTGAAGAAGGAAAGCGAAATATTCAAGCTGCCAAAGGCGTTCATTTCCACGATAGAGTAATACATATTATTGTCTCACAGAAAAGGCCGTAGCACGAAAACAAGAGCAAACTGTCAAATGGGCGACATGTGTAAGGGGTTGAAGCATATGTGGCTGATGCCATGATTGTCACGTCAACAAAGTAGCAACCACGCGGAAAAACGACTCCGATCCCTTTCAAATCCAACGATATAGAATGGCGGACGCTGTTCTACGGGCATGTCGGCACCAGGAGTCAAGAACAGATCATGATCCATCTGGGGATCGCTACCGCCATGCCTAAGTCAAATAAACAAACAGTAGAATGACAAACAAAAACTACTCACATATCTTGGAGATGCTGAGCAACCATGATCATACGACTCGGGACCGTCAACATGATCAGAACAATGCTGGCAGTGGAAGAATACCCTCGTCCAGCTAACTGGAAATCCGGATTCTTGGCTAACAACTCGCCTCTTCTTGGCTTCATCCTCCGGCGCAAGAATACAAAGTCAGAGTCTCCGTAAGTGGTGTCTCTTTACACCTAGCATAGTGGTCAGACGTGAGAAAAGGATAGAGTACCGGCGCTCACACATTCGCGCCAGGAGAGGACGGGACGCCCGTCACACTGATTGCCTGTTCCGCTATCGTACAAAGCATATTCGCCAATGGTAATCGACCATACAAATAAATCGAGATCCAAATTATCCATGTCCCTCCGCAGTCGTCGTAGCGGGATCACGAGAAGCAAGTCGTACTAAAGAAGCAGCTACGGATGATCGTGCCGTATCAAGGGAGAGCTTCGCGTTCCCAAGTTTCTCATACAGATCATCGACACTCGGCAATTGGCCAATAAAATGCAATCCGTATGCACACAGATGCCGCCAAACATCTGCATTGGTGATGATAGCACGATAGCAGCGTCTGCAAGAAAACACTATCAATGTTGCCAATTTCAAAGGATCGACCTGTGTAGAACGAGGGATTGAGTGTAATGCGTGACGAAGAGAGATTGCAGTCTTACTATGAGTGAGCGGAATTAAACTCAAAATGTGGACTTGAATGTTAGGGAAACGTCCTTTAACCCTTGCTGCACAGATCAAGTTAACGGAGACGATCAGCTCGATGACAGCTACTGGCGAGAATATATGGACATACTTTTCTTTCAGGCAAGGCTGGCAGACTCGTCGACGAAGCTTCCAGTCAATGGAGGACTCCTTTGCACAGCAGAGCTGATAGGTCCTGATTAGCTGAGAGCATGTATACGGAGTTAGAACCTACGTCGCGGTCGACGTCCCAAATAGTAGGTCGACCCATCGGTACTCAGGAATTCCACGAGGTGACTTGATTCCCTCCTCACCTCCCCTCACCGCCCTCCAAACGAATGATACATTATTCGCAGTCAGAGTACGACGAAAATTTGCATCGACTCGTGATAGATTGATAAGGTCTTGGGGAGAAAGCATGGTGCATATCTTTCGACGTTGGTCAGTGGACGAGATGTCAATGTAGGCAACTCACCGTGAAGAGAATATCGGCATCGTCGGTAACAGACTCAGATCACGTTTCTCCTTAGTCCTCTTCCTTTTGGTCCCTGTAGCCTTCCTTGCCTTCCTTTGCTTTGTCGCCGCCGTATTCGAAATTGTTCGCGTTCGTTTCGCTGGACTAGGTTTCAATACTGTAGAATGTAAGAACAAAGTGATCACCGCGCACCTTTGCCGCGCCCTCCACGTTTGAGATCGTTATCAACCTCATCGTCCTCGTCATCGAATTGCCAGTCACCGTTTTTTGGGTTCAGCAAGGCTCTTCCGTTTGGAAGGCACCGCTACCCTTGCAGAGCGTCTTGGCTGCATATCCGAAGAAGAGAATCTGATGAGATGATGGTAGTCGACGAACAAGGGTAGGTCAGTGATTATGAACCATTTGTAAGCGGACTTGTTTATCCATATGGGTCCCAACTTCCTTACCCGCACCTTTACTCATGCCTGCAAGACTCCGTTGAATTCTTCCCTTATTTTCTCACCGATAACTATTCCGCAGCACCTCTCTTCTTTATCACAATAGCGCCTTTGTTCAACGGGGAAAATCCGACCATTGCCCGGTAGGGGCCAGTGGATGGCCCCGGATGGGACTGAACAACCGATAAAGTACGTGATAGCCACTTTTTACAAAGCCCATATTTACAAGCGATGGAAGTCTGAAGCGTAGGACAGCAAAACCACTGCGTAGGAGACGAGACGGCCCGACATCAGAAGAGATAAGGGAACACACACAGAACGCCCCAGTGAAAACGACACCGAGAGCAGGAACTCTCATATTACGACAAAATCATTGAAGGTCAGTCAATTGTTCGTTCATCTTTTTCAAGGCTTTGCCGACGTACTGACATTGTTTACAGACCGCGGTCCAATTCAGCGAAAACATCCTGGTACACTGGGAAAGTCTAGTTTTAACCCCTTGCCCTCCTCCTCAGAGATTTCCCTCCATTCCATTTATCGCGGGATATCTATTCTTACCTAGAGCTCATTTTGTCATACCGGCGCTTCCAGGCCAATCTATAAGGACAGCGGAACGCGCGAAGAATCAAAGGGTTACCGAGAGGGAGGCCGAAATCTTCTGTGCACGTAGCACACACGCTGAGTATATGCGCCCAATTTTCGTTAACGCCCGTTGCAGATGTATTATAAGAGGGGCTTATCCGATTGTTTTACCTCATGCATACACTGGATCTCCTGGACTCTAGCTCCCGCTGTTGTTATACCCTGTGCTCAATCGTCACCAGACGTCTGTCCGAGCTCTTCACTCCGGCCGCATTTTATGTCTTTTACCAGCTTTTGGCGGACTTGCGATGTGCAAGAACGCATGAGGAGTCAATGCTCTGCTTTGGCATAGTGTCTTTCGCAGAGAGAAAGCTGATGGAGGAACTGCATCTCCACAACGCGTCGGCCGATGATCAATATGGCGGTGCTATTCGAAACTCAAAGTAGCGGCGCGATCCCACATGCGTCCTTATCAATTGAGTACCTCCTCGACATATCCGTGAGCATTTTGAGAAGCCCAAGTACGTAATTTACTACTTTTTGCGTATTTGAGAGACTGACGAAAATTTGGTTACAGCTAGCTGTCACGAGCCGATGCCGGACCGCGATGTATTTTCTCTTCTTGACTTTACAGCAATGGATATACTTAAGCCTCTAGGTGCTTGAATGCGAGCGGTCTTCCTCGCTCTCCTTACATTCCTGCGTCTCCCACATCATTACATACGTATCCCATGGGTATCTTTCTTCCACGTCAAGACCATTATCTCATGTCTCTTCAAGGGAAGCCTAGCTAATTGCCGGAGGTAGACCATGCAGCTCGATTCAGTCCTCCTGGAATCTCAAAATCAGCGAGCCATCCATAAGCTCTGCGATAGCATCGGGCCGGGCCTGAGATGCACCATTGTACCCCCCAATGGCCGTCATTGGCTCGCTCCTCGCATATCCCAATCAGACTTGGTTTCTATACTTTAAATGAAGATATCAGCGTGAAGGCTCCTAGGATGCCCCTTTGCATTCCGGGTGCTTACTACTGAGACCCCCTCATAAGCTTCAAATATATATTCGTTCGTTTGCAGGACTGGGTATCATCGAACGTCGGCGTGTCGGACGGCTTCGCTCAACAGCCGGCCCAGTCTCTTATGCAGCGTGGTTCGTGGTCAATCTCTTTTTCTTGGCATAACGATGCCCATAACTAGCTTCTGTATCTTAGATCCTCATAATATACCCTAGTTCGATAGCCGACCCTTGTCATTCTCCGAATGAATCGCACAGAAAGACTCAAAGACTATGAAGGTTCGTGTTGTATCTGTTTGTTTCACTTAATCTGATACCCAAACTGAAAGGGCGTAGGACAGATACCGTCCTACCTCGACATCTCCCTGTGCCCAAAGGCTGCATGGACATTCAGCAGTGCGCTTACCCCACGGAACGTGAACCACTTTGAAACCTAGGGAAGGACATGCATGTACACCGCGTGGTCCTCGTTGAATCCAGACGTGGCAGACCTCATACCAAACTCCAGTTTCCAAGCAAACTCCTTCCCAAGGGTGATTGCAGAGTAAATTCAAGAATCAGTCGCAATGTGCACGTTGCCCGTCCACATCGACGTCCGTCATTTTAACCATAATCTTGATCTAAGAGTGACGCCGCCTTCTTTAATACCCGCTCAAAGATCTGGGGACGATGGTCGGCAGTATCCTGATATGTTCCATTGCCTGTGGAATGAGTACGGTCGAAGGTTTGGTGCTTCGACCTTTTGTTTAACCCGTCGTCGACTCATGGTCGTCTTTTTTTTTAGACTGTGCGAGATTTTGTTGTCTTGTGACCATCTTTGAAACAGGAGATACGCCCACGCCGGTCATCCAACGGCCATCATGCATCACTGGGGGTCTAAGCATCGATGATGCAAAAGACGGCATTAAGATGATGATGATCGACCGTCACAACGTTTTTTACACGTGCTTGGTGGCATATTAACGCACAGGTATATAACTGCGTTTTTCACCCTTCTTCTTTCGATAACTTATCTAGTTCCGGACCATCACTATCTTGCCACGATGACAGAGTACGACTATTCCCCAGAGGCTGTACAAGCCTACCATGCAAAGCTGCAGGGTGTACGGCGATGGGTGGACAAGACCAACGAAAGCGATCTCACCAATCCCTTCACCAGCGTGCCTACCATTGCTGGATCCGTCGCAGGCGACGTTCCGCGGAGCCGTAGCAAGCATCGGAGCAAGAGGACGTCGTCGAGACATCGCTCCAAGTCGAGGACGCCTGTCCCAGCGGCCAAGGCCACTAACTCCAAGGCCACTAACTATCCTTATGCCACCCACTATTACCACTCGCAGTACGCACTGCCGAGCTATCTCGCTCACTACGTCGCGGAAATGCCACCGCATGTACCTTTTGCGCCACCTTTCGTCTCAGCGGCCCAGTATATTCCAAATCAGAGCTACACCCGACCCGTCATTCCTGCAGTGTACGGCCAAGGACATGCCGCTCCTCCTCAGCGGGTGCGTAATTTTCTTTTTTCTGTAAGGGACCCGTAATAATTGATCTGCTTCCTTAGTCCGCATCTCGTAAACAATGCCAATACTCGCCAGCGTCACCTCCACCTCCACCACTACGATCTCCTCCCAAGACTCCGAGTCCCCCAGCTAGCTATGCATTGACTCCCAAAAGGAACGCCCTCTGTCGATTTTTGGACAAGATCACAGGTGGTGCGAGGAAGACTTCGAGCCGGCCCAACTCTCCTGCTTCAGACGCGAAGAAGCGGCACCACCGTGAGAGGCGAAATAGCTTCTAGGGTAGTAGTGGTTGTACATTGGTCCAGGTTGCGAAAGTCGCAACCTTCGGCAGAAGTTTAAGGCTCCGTAGACGCTCATCGGCCATTTCATTCTTCTAGTATGCGCTATGGTCCCTTTCTTCGAAGTCCTAACGATTGCATTACATGACTATCTATGTACGATCTACTTTTATGAATACGTACTTGGGTCCCAAAAAGGTACTAGGACTTTATGTAGCTAAGTACTACTGTGTCTTCATCTTCTGTGGCGTCATTATAGGTGGCGCCATATCAATGCACTGGGATATGAATTCATTTGCAAGGTACTACGTCTCTCGGTCCCGGATGAATCATCCGGAATTCGACGTATTGATGAAAAGAGATGAATTGACAATTGTGTCCTGCAGGGGTCGAAGCTTGTCTTCGGCATGCACCGTAACCCAGGGCCATCGTTGCCACTAACCAGCTCTTATCTATGCAAAAAAATAAACAAACTTAACCTCTCCCCGGAAATTCTAATATAGGAAAAAACGTAAGTAGGTACATAAACTAGGAAGCGGTACGGCTTAAACTAACTTATCTCCACTCTTCAAGATGCTTATCCCCGTTGGTAAAACCCGATTCGACGCATGTCTTCGAGTTCCTACCTAAGTGGAGCTGAGGAACTATTGCGGTCCAATGCTGGTCCCCATGACTTTGGGAAGCCAAGTCCACAGGAAATACTATCTAGAGGCAGAGATCATGCCCAACTACTTCAAGAGAAGATCACGACAACTCGAACTCTCTTGGAATACCTAGAGGCTGCCGAAGGGAGGACGATGTCCACAGCATCACTCGCACAAACCATCCGCTGGGAGACATTCCAGATGATATCTTCCATAAAGAATTCGTCATGGCTGCTGAGGCGGTTTGTGAGGATGGTATTCTTTGTGAGGATGGTATTCGTATATGGGCTCAAAATTAAGTCCGAAATTCTTACAGCGTGGGTTTTCGATATCTATCTTGGGGCTCCGGACGTGGAACCTCTGTTCGCATGTCCATGCTACTTGGGCTGTCATCAATGTACTCTTGCTGATGAGCAAACGAGGTACGATAAGATATCGTCGAGGGAATAAATTAATAACAGAATTGCCAATACTTGGAGCATCGCCTGCGTTGTCAGTGCGGGAAGAAGACCAGAGAGGTACCTTATCAAAGTCCCATGTGTGCTCTCCATATAAAAGGGAGAGGGTCTACCGGCTTTCATGATTCACATTCCCCGAAACATGGTGCTGGTTGCTTAAAGTATAGGCTACTGACATTTGAGCTTCTTGCTTTCATCTACCTGTCAGACAAGATCATCTCAGAAAGTCGTCAAATAAGATTAGAACGTAGCTCCGAGGGCCTCCGAGTCAACAACCTGAGACGGTACCGCCTTAGGGATACAAATGTATCTCGTAGGTGAAGACTTAGAGGCTTGGAGTATAGGATGTGCCAAGAAGATGCAGTGAAATTGCAAGTATCTAGCTTGACTGTACATACTAGGACAGGGACTTGGATGAAGATTATGGATAGATAAGTTATAAAGCAGTTACTTCTGCTGCTTGTTACCAAATCGCTGGCCATAACGGATATTCTTGTAACAGCAGTTCTGCGACCTCCGCACTCATGCTTCGATGAACGGCCTTGAACTGATGTTCAGCTTTATCTGAATAACCATTACTATCAATTCTTGGTCCTATTAGCGAATAAGTGTACACACCTAAATCCAGAATATATAGCGGGCCACTACAATGGGGGTCAAATAGTGCCTCATATTCCGCGGCCTCTTGTTCCTCCTCCTGGGGATTCACACCTTGGTCCAATTCCTCGTTAGTCGATAAAAGAAATGCCAGTGGCACTTATCTCCGCCTTTGCTACACCGGGGCAAGAGCTATGTCCGACATTCCCCTCGAACATGAGAAGTAGGTATCTCAGCGTCGTCACGTTGAAGGGAAGCGACGGGAACCTCATCGCATTTCATCAAAATATCCGGCGGTAACGCTAGCCAGGGAAAGGTTTGAAGCTGTCGATAGATGAAGACCGTGCAGATGAAAGGTAAACCTCTTTCAAGTCGCCCTCCACCATCGAGATGAGTATATGTTGTTACCTCTCAGCGTTGTAGGCCAAAGTGGATTCGGTATTTGTCTTGCTGAAGAGGAAGCGAGGCTGAAGACATTGTCGAGGTGACTGACAAGTTCTAAGAAATCAACACACTGCTACGACACCGATAGCGACCACAGCTCGTAGAGACGGGTGATTATTTACCAGACGGTACAAAGCGGAAAATTAGAATCTGACACGGATCTGAGGGGATTCGGTAGTGCATGCTAGATTCCCTGTTGAGTTACCTGTAGGGTACCGGCGGATGATTAACGGAATTGTCGCGCATATAGTCAATGTATGACACGTACCCTGGAAATTCTGCTCGCCCATCCAGTAATTATCTGCTCATTTATGCATTAATCCTCCACGTATCATCCTGGAGGCTCTAACATAGTGAACAGGCGAGCTCCTGTCTCATAGAGATGGCGAATCCTCAATACATGGGAGCCTGATCCAGAGAAAAAACCGTCAAGATTGGTGCAAGTGACGCCGAGGAGTTTTTGGGGAAAACATGAATCGACCCGGGCCAGTATATTACAGACTGATTTCCCGCTGTACTGGGTAGTGGTCACTGGTCCGTCAAAAACCTATAAAGAATTGCAGAAATTTCGTCATCAACACATAGGCAAGAACTTGAGAACGATGAGTGGGCTGCCGACCGACCTTGCATAGGGTAGCCATGGTGTCGCCGTAGCCTAATAATTGTCGTTCCCGACATCATTTCCTGGTATTCTTCTGTTTCTGTTTCGTCCCTCCTTCGCATTCTTTTGGCAGTATTAGGCTTCAAGGCTGCCTTCGCTTGTAAGCACGAGGTCTCCAGGAAGTCCGGAGTAAACAGGAGTAAACTGTGAGGAAGTTGGGACCCATACGAATACACAAGTCTGATTACAAATGATTGATAATGACAGCCTGGCTCTGCTTCCCAACCACCATGATCTCAAATTAATTTCTTTCGATACGCAGCCAAGACGCTCCGCAAAAATTCCAAACGGAAGAGCTTTGCCAAACCCGAAGACGATGATTGGCAATACGAGAGGGAACGCGAACGAGGACGCTGTAAAGGTGCGCGATGGTCATCTTTTCCTACATTCTGCATTCTGAATTTCGAGATAATCAGTGTTGAAGTCTATTCCAGAGGAACGAAGGTGAACCAGAAAGAAACGGCGAGATCTGAGTCCGTTACTGACGATGCCGCTGGATATTCTCTTCACGGTGAGCTCCATTACTTTGCCACCCCTCCCAACGACTAACATTGACAGATCTTTGCCCTACTTTCTCCTCGAGACCTTATCAATCTATCATGAGTTGACGCAAATTTTTGTCATACTCTGATTGCGCATAATGTATCATTCGCTTTGAAGGCGGTGAGGGAAGCTGAAGGGGGAATCAAGCCATCTCTAGGAATTCCTGAATACCGATGGGTAGACCTGTTATTTGGCGTTCCAGCCTGCGACGTAAGTTGTTGCTCTGTTTGATATGCACTCATCTAACCCAGTGTATCAGTTATGTCCTGCAAGGAATATTCCTGTTGATTGGAAACTTCGTCGACGCGTTTGCAGGCGATGCTCGAAAGCAAAGTACGTTCATGCATTCTCGCTAGTCGAGTTTACCAACCCCCGTTAGCTTAAAATGCGTTTTCGAGAGTTAAAAGTCGTTTCCCCAACATCAATTATGACATTTTGAGTCTGATTCCGCTCACGGATGGTACAGCTAAACTTCTCCACACATATTCGACTAATTACCGCCATCCTCTAGCGTCCTTAGAATTCAATTCAATCCGTGCCTGATGTGATCAAGGTTGGAACAGGATGCATCCACGTCTGGAAGCGGCGATCAGGAGAACTGAGATCAGGAACTCAAAGCGGCCCGTAGTGCGGCGCTCTACAGGCGTGCTGAAGTTGTCGAAAGCATTTTCAAAACGTCCTTGTCTGTAGTATAACGAGAAATGCCCTCGTTCGTAGACGTTTGTACGTTCCCCGAATTCCAGCACATTTTGGAGCTGCCTATCGAGCACGTCGTCACCGAGGCCAGCTTTGCCGATGCTCTCAATGAACTCCCCACTCTGATTGAGGACTGGCAGCAGCGAAGGGAATCTAGGCTGCGAGCCATGGTCCCGCCTCAGGAGAGTAGACACATCGATCCTTTGAAGTTGGCAACAACGGTTTTCTCCTGCAAACGCTGCTGTGGTGCTATCATCACAAATGCAGATATTTGGTGGCACCGGCGTGTTAACTCTTGCAGACCAGGGAGAATATATTACCAAGATTGGGCGACGAACGTCGATGATCTGTATGGCAAACTGGGAAACAAGGAACTCTTCTTTGATACGAAGCGATCCGCCGTGACTGCTTCTCTACTACGTCTAGCTTCTTGTAATCCTACTATGACAAGCGCGGAGGAGATGGATAATCTGGATCTCTAATTTCTTTGTACGGACGATCCCATCGACGTATGTGGTCTCGCCGACGACGGAACAAATGGGTGTTGCGGGCGTCCTATCCTCTCATGGCACGAATGCGTGGGTGTGGATTACCCTATCTTTTATCCACAGCTGACTGATATGTTAGCTGAAAAAGGACAATATGTTGTACGCTGATTTTCGTCTTCTTACGCCGGACGACGAGGCCAGGGAGCGCCGACTTGTGGAAGAGGCATACAGATTTTCCTCTGCCTGGCCCACCGAAGTTTTCCACTGTCAGCATTGCTCTAATGACCTTGATAACGTCAAATCGTATGAGGAGGACACGCAGCATATCCGAGATGTATGAGTAAATATTGTTTACTGTTCTTTTTTTCTTTGCTTAGTTTGCGTAGGCAGGCTGTTGACGATCCCCAGATGGATCGTGATTTGTTTCTGACTCCTGGTGCACTCATGCTCGAAGCACAACGGCCGCTGTTGTATATCGTGGAATCTGAGAGTTCCCTCACGGCCCCAGTAATAGGACTCGTCAGCTGTGGCTGCAGTAGGCGTTCGTCAGTTTCAACCTGATACGACTAATTGATTACTTTCTGGACAGAACCGTTGGTGTGCCCGGCTCATGGTCAGACCTATTTCCCTTTGCATGCTATTAATACACATCATCTTACTCGGAATATATTTTTCGGATTCACAATATCCAGTATGGCATGCCTGTCCGGGCTCTGCAGGGGAAACCAAAAGTTGGGAGACATATCTGCACTTCTACCGAAAAGAGCAGAGTGGCTTTTCCGAGACAACGCCTCTGATTCATAATCAAGAACCGGCCCCTTTCCCGACTACCGTCATCTCAACAGATTCTTTTCTTTCAATATGCCTCTAAGACGCTCTGCAAAAACGGCGGTTCCTTCTAAACGAAAGAGTCTCGCTGAGCCCCAATTCGGAGATGAGGACAGCGAGAGGTACAACGATTTCGAAGGAGGTGAGCAATGATCGTTTATCTGAAGCCGTTCCAAGTACTGAAATGAATGCAGCAGAGTTGAAGCTTAGTCCAGCCAAACGAAGACCAACGATCCCAAATATGGGAACAGCTAGAAAACGAACAAAGATAACGAAGGTTACAGAGTCAGAACGAAAGAAAACTGGGAAAAAGCGAGATGTCAGTCTGTTAACGACGATGCCGCTGGATATTCTCTTTACGGTGAGTCGAATATATTGTTATTCCGACCACCGCCCAACGTCGGCAGATCTTTGGCATGCTTTTTCCTCGAGACCTCATCAATCTATCGCGAGTCGACGCAAATTTCTGTCGCATTTTGACTGCGCATAATGTATCGTTTGTGTGGAAGGCGGCGAGGGAAGCTGAAGGGGTAAGCGAACCCCTTCACGGAATTCCTGAATATCGTTGGGTGAACCTTTTATGTGGGAATTCAGTCTGCGATGTAGGTCATAACTGTGTTGGTAAGGACCCATCTAACCTGGTAGTATCAGTTCTGCCGAGCAAAGAAGGCCACTGTTGACTGGATGCTTCGCCGACGTGTCTGCAAGCGATGCCTAAAGTCAAAGTACGTCAATGCATTCTCGACAGGCGCTGTACACGAGTTCATCAACCCCGTTAGCTTAATATGTGCATCAAGGATAACAAGGCGTTTCCCCGATGTCAACGACAATGTCTTGAGCCTGATACCGCTCACCAACGGTAATGCTACAACGTCTTTCACACTATTTCGCTAATTAACTCCATCTTTAAAGTTGGACCACGAAAAAAGCACGCCCGCAGCGGCTACTATTGGATCTCTGACATCATGGACACCCAAGCAAGGATGAAGGAGCTAGAAGTCCAGCCTCAGCGTCTAGCCGAATTTCGAACGGAGCGGAAGAACTTGGTTGAAGGCATAAGCAGGGTTAGCGAAATTACCGAGAACAGTCTCATTCATCTGATCTATTCAATTCCAGGACGCGGGACGGTGCAGAGCATGGACTCGCGCTTATGCTCGGAAGACCGCTCGTGAATCAGGACGCCGGAGGTTTTCTTCGTAGGCCTGCTTTGATTGATGCTTGTCTAAGTGCTCTCTAGTATACAGATCTTCCTGTTTGACTTGGGTTACACCAAGCAGGAGCTCGACTATGTCATTATCCGGACATAACTATCGACTTGGGAAGATGGAGGGGAGGAGAAGGGATAAAAGTGTGTGTGTGACGTGGAGCGAAATGATGAGCTGGAAAAGAAGGACCAAACCTTTTTCTCCCCACCAATGTCATCATCATTTTCCATACACAGACGTGCTGCGATTTTCGGGGGATACTTAATATACACAAGAAACTATTCTCGCCTGTAGTATGGAGAGTAAAGCCTTCGTTTACGGACGTTTACATGCTCCCCTCATTTGAGGACATTCTGGAGCCGCCCACCGAGCACATGGTCTTCCAGTCCAACTCTATCGATGCTGTAAACGAAGTCGCACTTCTTGTTACGGTCAGATTTTGAATCATTCATTTTCTCATTCACCGTCACACACGACGATCTGTCCTGTGTTACAGTGCTGATATCCACCTCGCTCAGATAGACGAGAGACCATTTAAAGCTCTCTCTCGTTTCCATTATTCTCCAGCTCAAAGGCCTTGTTTAAGCCAGGAAATAGATCGATGGTCGTCCAGCATCTAATATCCAAGATTCAGAAAAGGAGCAAACAATTATAGTCGCAGCAACAAAATACCAACTCAACTTTACGTCTTTAATAAAAATTCCTTGACGCCCACTGACCCCGGTCATAGAGGTCAGAGAAATGTTTGCTGACCTCTTGTTTGACTGACCCAGGACTGACCCGGGGTCATGACAACACAGGTTTTGCGAACATGCCGTTCGTGTGAGTCTTCTTGGCTGTGCTCTCGTGATGCAGCAGGCATGCGATGATTATCCATGCTCGTCCATTGCCTTCCTCTTCCCAACATTCTCTTTCCTCTACCTCTTCCTCCAGTTTTGGAATGAGCCCCTGGTTGCGCGGCTTTCCCGTCTGGGTGAACGCTCCCGCTTTGGCCTATTTTTCGGGGGGGGGGGGTTCCTATCCTGACCTATCAAAAATCTAGGTTACCGCTACACAGCCACCACAGGACACGAGTCATACTCTGGGCTGAAATGGTGCCGGAATAGCTGTGAAGATTGGCGCCAGCTGGCCATGTTCTTTTGTGCAGATTCATGATTCGCACTAGCTAACCACATTTCTTTTGCGCAGCTTCATTGCTTCACCACGATGGTGGCAGTGTTATTGACTCTCCCCCCCCCTTCCCGAACATCACGTTTATATCCCTTACCCTTTCTGTGAGGATATTACCGGCGCGCTCAGGCAATGTCTTCTGACTCGTTCGGCGCCAAGAGCCGTAAGGGTTGATTGGACGATCCAGATTCTTACCACTTGACGTTTACGATTTCCTAAAGGGTATGTTTTCGAGTCATTTATGCTCTGATAAGAAGAACCTCAAACCAGAATTCCCTCTTGCTTCTTCATCACGATGAAGACTGAAACGCCAGAAACGCGCACAGTCGAGCTTGGCGTATGGAAAGTCGTGCTGCTAAACGACGTCCATCGAGATTATCGAAAGAATTGGAACAATATCCTCCTGGCTCTTCCCCTCTTCCGACGACTCGCTATCGACATTTATACCTTGGAGCCGATGTTGTCGATTCTCTTTGTCCTGGAAAAGTTTTGGTCTGGCATAGAATCCGCCGTTCTGCTCTACCTCTCGAGTCGTCTTTTGCGGATCGTATGTACTATTCTGTACACTACGCTCTCTATGACTCATAGCCTTATTAGATTGAGGTCGGACTTGTTTCAGGGACCGTGAATTCTGGTGCCATCTTGAGTGCCGTGGCGATACGTCTGTGTTGTAGCGCTCTGGCTGCACTCCTGTCATGGGCTAGGTATGCTTCCAGAAGCTCTTACCTGCTATCACAGTTTACTGAATAAATGTTCAGTGACGGTATTCATCCCATTTTGAGAACCCGTGTTATGACACATTTTCAACTGCACCTCATGCAAGGCAAGTCGCTTCCGGAAAGCGTCTATATCATCTCACAGACGTGTTTGTTTTAGCTCGCTTACGCATCGATGTCCCCACCTCGCAAGGTATTTTCGTTATTGTCGATAACCCGTTAAAATACCATCTTAGTCTACCACAGAAGCCAAAAGTAAATTCGATGTGTCTGCCCGACACGCGTGGACAGCATTCGAAGATGTGGCGGATTTCCTTCAGCAGATAGTCACCACGGGGAGCGAGCTGGCTCTCATCGTGCAGTCTTGTCGTGCAGCGGAATCCCCGTTGTTCGCGGTTCTGTGCGTCGTGAAACCTTTGTATCACAGTTTCAGTGGGAGATCGCTGTGGGATCAAGGTCTGCTTTCAAGTTGATTGCTTTGTCCAATCATTTACGGATCACAGCTCATGTCGTTTACACGGATAACAAATACTTCCAGCGAATGAAAAGTTTGGTGCAGATGGCCACCGATGGGTACAGGTCGGAAGTCTTAGGATGCGATCTTGTCGGTTATATTATCACAGGTATATCCGGTATTTTCGCTCTCTAGGCACAATATTGACAACCATTTCTGATTAAGAGTATCAGAAGGCGATGTCATCACTCGGAACCACCTCTGATGACTGGGCCGAACAACAATACTCTCGACGCACTGACCCATTAATGAGAATATCTGAAGCCATCATGGGGGATGTCCCTATGGTATGATATCGACTCCTTGCGTGCTCAAGGAATGAGATAGTAACATTATGCCTTCCAGGTTTACTACGCAGTGGCAGCTATCATGAAACCATCGAAATTCTCTATATCCTCCATCGCTATCCTGCATCAGTCATCTGGATCTTTGGAATGGTCAATGCGGTGCCTCTTCCGCAATGTTAGCAAATTTCGAAAGCGATGCGAACGGCTGAGGATGATTTACGAAGCAGACAAGATCAATAATAAACTCATCGATGGATGTTTGTCCTATCCGCCGGAGAAATCACAAGGAATGTCTTTCGAGCTTCGGTAGGTCAGTTCTGTCAGTCAGCAGTGTCATACCTAAGTGGCCTCTGAACTCAGTGACCTGTCCTTCTCCTACCCAGGATCACAGTCCACCAAGCCTGCCTTGTCAAACATCAACCTCTCCATCAAAGCCGGACAACTCGTTGTGATCGTCGGAGCCAACGGCAGTGGTAAATCCACCGTCATCAAGCTCCTCGCGCGCCTATATGATCCAACATCGGGTCCAGACTCTCTCACTGCTGATGGCCTGCCAATATCCAAGTACAGAATGTCTGAGCTTCGTGAGGCCACAGCCATGCTCACACAAGAACACTCGCTCTTCCCTGTCCCGCTCGGCGAGAACATCGGTTTAGGGTTCGTCAAGCATGTAGAGGACATGGAGATGATTGATCGCGCGGCCGAGCTTGGGGGAGCGACGCACTGTTTGGCGAAGCTGACGGAGGGAAAAGACACGATTCTCTCAGCGATGAACGAGGCTTATGGGCACGATGTTCCAGAGAGCGAGGCGCATCCGCTACAGGTTGAGATGGAGAAGCTGAGGAAGAACATCACGCTGTCGGGTGGTGAGAAGCAGAGAATCGTGGCGTGAGCTTTATTCATTGCCTTTTGCCTATTATCTGATATACCCCTATGCCTGTAGATCCCGAACATTCATGCGTTTTGAGTCTGGAAAGGTGAAGTTTGTTGTCGTGGATGAGCCAAGCTCTGCCTTGGATCCTGAGGGAGAAGCATCACTTTTCAACAACCTCATCGATGCACGAGAGGGAAAGACAATGATTTTTGTTACCCATCGGTTTGGACATCTAGCAAAACGTGCAGATCTCATTGTGTATGTTTGTTTCTTCTTTGCGACACCTGGTTGAGGGCTCACAGATGTGTGGTTTAGATGTATGAAGGACGGAAGTATCGTGGAGACGGGAAACCACAAGGAGTTAGTAGAAATGAATGGAGAATATGCCAAGTTGTACAACATACAAGCTAGCGCGTTTGTATGACGTTCGGTGTATCTTAATCGTCGTTGCCGGATAACCATCGTACACTGTTTCAGGCTATAGATGGCTCTTTTTTTTGTGCTGCGGCGAAAGCCCATTAACAAAGTTAAATCACTTTCGGAGATGGCAAAGACAGCAGGGATTCTCACCCCGCATCACGAGAAAAGGACCACCGGGAGAAATGCTCTAGAGCACGTCCTTTTCAGGACAGTGTGGGGTTCAGTCTCATGTCTGTTCTGCATGTTGCAGTGAGCTGGTACCCACTAAAACTCCGGTCATCTGGATCTAGTCATCTGGCAGTTTCTCACCGTCCTTTCGGAAGACTAAATCTTTCCAGGTGTCGAGAACGGTTTGCTCCCATACTGCTTTGGAGCCAAATCTGACCTTATCAGTCATGACTCTGTCCTGTTGGAAGCACTGACTCATCATGCTGGGCCATCTTCCTGCTATTTCACCTTTGCTGAAGCAGCACTCAGGATCGTCCTCTCTCTTGATTTGTTGCTCACAGTGGAGCTTCCATATAAGAAGGGCTGCTTCTGGGACCAGGATACAGAAGGCTTGCTTGGTACCCTTTGTTTTTGCTCCCAAGTTCTTGAATTTTCTCAGGCTGCTGCTCAAGACCATGCCCAGTGAGAGTGTTGGCCAGAATTCATGCTTCTGGTGCCAGAGCTCTTTCATTAGGTCCCAGATCTGTTGTCTTCTGGGTGTCTGACATTCCATTAGGATATGTTCAATCATTTCAGAGACTCTACAGATTGGGCACATCCCCCAGTGTTCATATTTTGGGATGTGGCCCCAGTATTGCTCAACTTTGTATGCTCCTATATATGGCTCTTAGAGTGCAATAAAACAATGGCAATGAAGTGAAGCTACCAAAAAACATCACTCATTCTTAACCAGTCACCACACCAAGAGGGGTCAAACTATGCAGACCCACAAGAGTAGTACTAACATAGCAGGAATAGGACTCGGAATCCCTTAAACTGCGATTATTCAACCACCATTACTATTGTCTATTACTGAACATCTTGAAGCCAAAAACAAAGTAGATGCATTATGAGTGGTGCTGGTCAATGATGAGAAATACGATGACTTAATGAACATCTCGAAGCCAAGGAAGCGCCTTCTCCTGTGCATCGTCGACGTCCTTTTGAACAGAGTGCGGCTGAGATACAAGATTGTGAGCCGCACGCATCAGAAGAAGTTCAAATACATCGATTTTCGCAGTCCCGCTTGGCTCGGTTCTCAGTTTCGACCCTAGGTTCTTCACGACCCTGCCCCTCCCGCGTCTTCGCCCATAACGAGGCGTGCTGTGGGTTACCAATACAGATCTTGGAGCTTCATCACCCATTTCAATTGATTACGGATATGCCGACGGGACCTAATAATAGAGCTCGGATCATTTTTCTTGCTGTGCGACGCACATGTCGATGTTTCCAACATAAAAAGGGTGACGATATCCGTCTGTCGGTCCCACGACCTACCCTCCCCTCCACCGCAACAATGTACCAAATATCAGCTACAGACATCTGCTTGTTTCTCGTCGGCGTTTTTCTAATCTACAAGATCTCCACAAATCGTCATAGCAGCATTACCCCCAAACTGCGCGGGCCTCCGAGTCAAAGCTGGCTTTTTGGTGTCACTCGCGTTCTCCGTGATGCCGAGGACCCAGGGCTCCTGTATGAACAATGGGCATCCGAGTACGGCTCTGTCTTTACCGTCCCTGGATTTCTGGGAGAGCCAAGAGTGGTTCTTTACGACCCAAAGGCTGTGACGCACTTCTATGGCAAGGAGGGCTTTGGATACGTCAAGACGCCCGTCTCTCGCATGTTCATTGAAATTCTTGTTTGTTTTTTTTTTCGCCCTTCTTCTAGGAGATGTGATCAGAATTTCTTGGCTCGCAGTTTGGGAAAAATTTGCTTTGGGCAGAGGGGGAACTTCATCGAAGGTGATTGACCCGACCCTCCTTTCACGCCGTACGGCGGCTCTGTGCTGACCAGAAAAAAACATACAGACAACGCAAATTTCTAACACCGGCGTTCAGTAACGCAGCTATACGCGATCTGACCTATGTTTTCTATGACTCGGCTCACAGGGTATATATACAAACAACTTTTTGCATTTCATCGAATAGGTTCCCAGATTTTTCACCTAGACGTCGTCTGCTTGGGATGTTCTTTTGGAGGCAAGCGACGGGACCTCCACGATAGATGTGCAGAAATGGTAAGTTCATTCGAGACCGGCCAATAATCATGACCGGCGACTGATATCCACCTCCCAGGATGAACCGTATCTCGTGAGGGCTTATCATTCAACCACGTAACCACTCAGTACCCAATTCAATTCCATTGCCCCCCCAATCTAGAATGGATAGCATCGGCATAGCGGGATTCTCCCACAACTTCGGCGCCATCGACGGGCATCCTCAAGTTTTCGACGACTTCGACTTGAGCGGCGGTGCCCCCTTTTTCGCCTTCATGATCATCGCGAGCACCATGTTTCCTGCCATCCTCCGTCTGCCTTCCAAGAAGAAAGAGGCTCTAGCCGCGATGAACCGTATGTTCTCCGACATCGCCGACCAGCTCCTTGCCAAGGCCAAGGAGCATGGAAACGAAGAGGACAAATCCGTGATGGGTCTGCTGCGTGAGTTGTGATTTGTTCCCGAGTTGCGATGGGAAGCTTATCCCCGTTTATGTACAGTCAAGTCCGAGACACATGAGGCCGACGTTCACATGTCCCGGGAAGAGATCATAGCTCAGGTATCATATCAATCCTGCATATATGAACCTTCTTGCTGATAATAGTTTGCGTGGCAGATGGTACTTGAGATATTCCTATTCTCGTTTTTCCTGCTCATAATGTTATCTCTAGAACTTGTTGTTACTAGCGGGTGAGTATCGCAGACATATTCGTTGGGTTCTGAAAGCTGAGCATTTCAGGTTACGAAACGACGAGTAGTAAGTCATGATCCTCCTCCTACAAGACTCTGTTATCTCGTTTATTGAAAATATTCTCTCGTCCAGTCAGTCTTACGGTACGTGCGCTCTCCCTTATCTTATCGTCTATCAAATGGGATCTGATAAGAGTCTGCAGTGGGCCCTCATCGAGCTGTGCAAGAACCTTGACATCCAAAACAAGCTCCGCGCAGAGCTACTGCAATTTGGCAACTCCGATCCGTCGTGGGACCAGCTCAACTCGAGCCTTCCATACCTCGACGCGGTTGTGCACGAAATCCTACGAATGCACCCACCTGTGTTCGAGACTACGAGGATGGTGCGTATCCGTCCTATCCCCCGGCGTACTTAGAGTTCCCCTCACCTCACCCTTTCCTTTACGCAGGCAGCGGAAGACGACGTCCTTCCTCTCGCTACACCCGTAGTAACAAAGGCCGGAAAGACCGTTAACAGTCTATTCATCGCCAAGGGAACGGTCATCACTACCCCCATTCGGACGCTGAACAGATCAGAGCAGTTCTGGGGCCCTGATGCGAAGGAGTTCAAACCGGAGAGATGGTTGGAAGACAGTGCACCGCGAGCGAAGGAGATCCAGGGTCACCGACACCTTCTGACGTTCGTAGACGGACCTAGGACATGTCTCGGGAAGACGTTCGCGTTGACTGAATTCAAGGTTGGAGTCTTATTTCTCTTGAGGAAGAGCTGGCCACCTTTTTGCTGAGGATTATCTTGGGTTTGTTTCTCTTTCTAGGCCGCGCTCTTTGTCATTGTGCGGAACTTTGCTTTCGAATTCCCCGGTGGAAGTGATCCTGTTATTGGGAAGTATAGGGGGAGTATTTTGCCTAGACCGAAAGTCGGTGATGAAGAGGGCGCGAAGGTTCCCTTGAGGGTGAGGAGAGCATAAGACTAGCAAAAAGATATTATGATGTATCTATGCGGTGGATGTATTTTTAGTGAGTAAACTAGACCTGAAACGTGGTCTCTCTTCAATATATGAGTAACTGTCGAGCCTTGTAAGACTGAGTTTTTAAGTTTAGCACAATGTTGTTTCCGACCTCGCGCGCGGGAGGACGTTGTGGAATTGAACGTTCCTCCGTTACATAATGCAATTTGAAAAGAGAGGATTACTTGTAGTAGGCCTCATCACTTTGTTTATCTACCAGTTGGATCATGGCCGTAGATGTATTATTACCTGAAGGTGAGGCGCTAACTTTGACAAAAAGGCGTCGTCCCTCCGTCGCCGAACTAGGTCCAAGGCTGCACAATGGGGTCTCTAGGATACTGCTCTTCCCATACCTTTGGTAGCATCCTCAGGCCTGGTCGGTACTGCTTGATTACCACTGAGAAGAGATATCGTAGAAGCACTATGTAACTGAGAATAGAAAGGGAAAATCGGACGGAGTTTGGTGTCCAAGAGAGACGTTTGAGCTCAAGGTGAGTGAACTTATAATAATTATGAGGCCAGCTCTCTGTCGTGATCAGAGCATTTCTCTTATATTCTTTGATACCTGCCGGTGACGCTTGCCCTGTCCGATGGAGGTCGGCGAAAAGACTCCCCTGAGGGAAAGGCGAGCGTGATCCAATCCCAGACAGCCTGTTGGTTCAATCTGGATGACGAATATAGTAATATAAAGTCCTTGGTACGGGAGACTAATGTAGTATCCACAGTTTTCCGGCAACCCCTTAGGTGCCCCTAATAGAATTGTCATTAATTCGTCGCCCAGCGACGGATATATGGGATAGGTACGCACCCTCCTTCTAGTTTTCTTCCTCGGGACGCTCTTTGATCTCCCAGTTACGCAGCCAGTCATCAATGTCCGGCTTCTCGTAGTCACGCTCATAAAAGTCTTCACAGTGAGAACCTGATATCACAATCAAGCCTTGACGGTTGAGAACATGACAAAACACCCTCACCAGAATACGGCACTTCCTTTCCCGTCAGGTATTGAATGAACCGCACCATGACGCGCTCTCTCCAGCGCATGCCTAGCGCATCTCTCGCATCGGCCGATCTATACATGCTTCCCCTACGGAACCCGGATAGAGAGACATTCTTGCTGCGGATCACCACCGAGCGTAACAGGCGGGCATGTTGTTCCAGGGCCATACCCAGATGAGCCCAAGCAGTCTTATCGGTGAAAAGGTTTTCGGAAGGGTAGAATTGGGTGTTGCAGATATCGACAGACAGCTCGGTCAGTGCCAGCCCAGACTCTGAGCTACTCCCGTCTTCGAGACTCTCCGTGAGCCAGAAAAGCGTGGAAGACAATCGAGAGAGCTGGTCGCAGACATATAGTGTTTGCAGGCTGGCGGGATCCACGTATTGATATAGCGGGCCTGGAAGGTTGGTGGGGGGTGAGTCATGGAAAGAGCTACACCGCAGGAGAGAGAAATCGTACCGGCAAGAGACGTGAAGAGCCGTAGATGTTGCAGACACTGCGCTTTGCAAAGTAGTGAACAGGTCGGACTGATGAGCTGATAGGTCCGTTCCTTAGGGTATTGACACCAAAGCGAAAGACGGAGCAGAGAAGACACGTCGACAGGAGATGAGGGCAAAATGAATGCTTGGATGATCTGGCTCAATGACTGCGGCTCGGCATGCACGGCGAGCTCCGTTAACCTCGGCCCAAGTTTTTCTACAGCATCCTGACGAGTCTCGCTGTCAGCATCAGCGCCGATTTTGACGTAGTCGATGATCAGAACTTGCAGAGCAACACAGTTGCCAAGGAGTTCAATAAATTGTGATCGTGTCGGGAACGTAACATGGCCTATCTTGAGATAACGCAGCCTTAAAGAGCCCACCGCATGGAAGAGGGACTCGTGCATGAACGCCAGCTTCTCCCAGTCGTAGTCCTCCGCAAAAGATAGAGACATGCTCCCAAGATTCCAAAAGCGGACGACGATCTCGCTCGCCCGAGTAAACGCCCCGTCAAGAACCTCCTCCGAGTTGTAATAGTAAGACACATGTGCTGCACGCCTTTTGAGCGTTCCGAGATGAAGCTCCTGTACGAAATCTGCAAGATGCGGCGCTTGTTCCAGCAGCTCCCTGAACTTGTCTATGCTACCATCCATGACATACTGGGGAAATGGATACCCTGCGCAGTCTTCCGAGCTAGGAAAGTCTATAGTAGAAGGAACAGCTCGAACGAGCTCTGGAAAAATGGAGACGCGGGAGAAAAGACGTTGTTGAGCGGGGACGGTCCACTGTTTCGAAATGAGCGAGGATGAGCGAAGAGTTTCGATATCCGGACGGAATTCGTCGGTAATGTGTTCAATGAGCTCCAGGGGTAGTGTTTGCGCCATGACTACCCAACGATGGCCTTGGCGGTTGCTACGAGCGATGGTGGTTTCATGTCGAATTCACGCCAAATGCACGTGCCCGGATTGGCCGGTCCGTTCCCGGGCCAAGCCAAGGAGATCAAGTTGGGCTGCTGGTCACGTCACATCATTCGCAGTACCGAGCTACTTTACCGAGCTACTGCCCACATCTTACAACACCAGCTTCAACGATACAGGCCATGCACCAACTCAGCTGTCATTATCCCCCTAATGCCATGAGCTTATCTAGACAACGCACATAATCCTTGGGATATAATAATGCTATGAAAGCATCACAGCGCTCTCTTACCCAACGCCTCCTGGGCAGCATGCGCCCGCATATGCAAAGCATTCTGAGAAAGCATTAATCGCAACATACATCGGAACAAAGCAAAACGACCGACCTCCATGCTGTACTTCCCCTTCTTCCCTGACGGCCCAACCTCGAGATGTTTACCTGAAGAAGCGTCAATGAGTCCCTGTAACATGAAGCGACACGCACCCGAAAGAACGAGATTGAATTGTTTCCGAGCTTCGTCGTCCTTACCCTGACACGCCAACAAGCGTCCGAGCTCATAATCTGCATGAGAACCAGTCAATATTATATTACCAAGAGCCAACGAAAACGACATACGAGCATAGTAAACAATGTGGTGATCCAGCTCGATATTTGGTCCAGCCTCAAAAACAGCTTCGAATGCCGATATCGAAGTGATGGCAGCTTCGTCTTGAGACATTCCCGCTAGATCATCAACCGAAGGAGCGTTCGGAGGAAGTATAACATCGGGATCCTATCACAAGGGAAAAAATCAATCACCAAACATGCCGATATAGACAGAGAGACCCAACTGGGTAAGCAACGTATCTCATACAAACGCCCTCCAGAAATTTCGCCAGGCAGAAATCATCCCAATATCCCGGCGTCCTCTTCTTGTCCTTGCTTCGAAGGCTCTGCAGGCAAGCCTTGACCTCGACCAGCATCTTCGTCACCACGACCTCCCTCGGCGCATGTGCGATAGCGAGAAATTGATACGCCATCTCCAGCGCTGGAAGCGCAAGATAATCCTGCGAGAGAAACTTGCGCGCCTTCCTTGCAACGAGCTTCTCCAGCGGGATACTCTTCCCCGCAATCTTCTGTCGTAAATCCGGGACTTTCTCCATAAGCCGTCTCGCGTCTCCACCCGTCTCCAAAAGACACACCGCCATCCCGTATGCGTATATCGCTTTCGACCATGTCGCTTCCCTTTCCAATTCCGTCCAGCACCCCAAACTGGCCTTGATATCCCACAACGCGAGATTCGCTATAGCCATCTCCCAAAAGCTGATGTGATGCAGTGTACGGTACTGCGACTGCACCTCGATGGCCCGCGCATAATACTTAAGAGCTTCTTCGGGCCGCGACTGCACCAGCGCCAGCCTGCCAGAACCGAAGAGGAAAAAAACCCCGTTCGGATACCGTTTCGCGTGCCAGCGAATGATCTTGTCCGCCATACGAACGTCAACTCCTTCAAAAGTGAAGCTAGAGAGGATGAGGTGGAAGACGACGAGAGTCATGTCGCAAAACGGCCGACGAAGGCCTTCCTTAGATGCAGGGATGGTCGGTTCGTCTGAATCTCGAGTCCAGCCGCCTGCTTTGGCAAGAATCGCAAGGGCTTCATGACGATCTCCATGATACCCGAATATTTCAACGATGGCAATGACTCTCGATGGCAGAAGACTGAGAACGAGCATGCCGACCCCAGCACCTAGGTAGACGCCTGTACGGAAGTGCTCGTCAATAGCGTCGTCATAACCGTTTGGTGAGGCATCATCCACGCTCTTGATATACTTGTACAGCAACCGGTAAATGCTAAGCGAGGTGCGCATATTAATTCTGTAACGAACGAATGTCGTCGGATTTGTAGTTCTGACTGACTGGCACTCACGCCTCTTTGGCAAATGCCAGCCAATCTCCCGAGTAGATGACCGCCAGCATGGACTTTTCGAAGATGCTCTCCGCGTAAATGAGCTCTGCATGGCGCTCGACCGGGGTCATACTCTGAATGAGACTGATGCCAGTCGTATGAAGGGAAGGAACGACGTAGCCAGCGAGCTTCGAGGTGAATGACGACACCTTACGGTGCTTCGAAGCCACCGTCGTAGCATGCCTTGCGTGTCCAATTGCAGCCACAATGTCGTCGTCGTCGTAGGACATTACTGCCTTTATGCATTGGATGAGTCCGTACCCAATGCAGAAATACATACGTTCCCTGGACGCTGTTGTTCAGCACAGCGCGGAGAGAGAGGACCACGACCAAATACGCGCACCTGTTGGGGTCGCCACTAGAGCAGTAATCCTCCGACTCCACCATCTGCGACGCGAGAAAAAGGTCCAGGGCGCGCGCGATGGCTGGAATGTCGTCTAGAGCCTCGTCAGCGTTGTAGGGCACCTTCACCGCTGGACCTGTAACATCCACAGCGCCGCCATTGCCCGCAGGGCGGTCTAGGAGAGGAGAAACGAACATTATGAAGCAGAAGACGCGTGCTCATCGACGTTCCCAGAAGATGTACTTTTGCGGCAAAAATGCATTCGGGCCTGATGATAACATCAGAATTTACCCTGGAACAGCCCCGAAACGGAACCAAAAAGGGGATCGTTTTAGCCGGCAAGAATGCCGGTGACGTGTAAGATTTAATGCCGGCTTCGGTAAATTTGATTGCCGGAAGGGTCGAAGCCATTTGGCCCGAAAATACTTAATCCGTCGCAGCTGTGATCACGGGACTCACAGGACGACCGCGAACGTCGTGTCGTACCTTTACTTTGTTCCACCACCTGCAGCTGGTATCTGGGCACTTTCTGACTCCAAGGATCGCATGCGAGGTCAATGCCTTCCTTCTGGAGAAATGTACGATGATTTTAGTGTCCATACTATTCATCCGCTGAAAGCTATTTCCAGCTTCTTTGTTACGGACAGTATTTTTGTGTCTACCCAGCTGCGTTCGATTCTGAGGAAGAGCGATGTATGCGTCCAATATGATACGTGCACGCCTATTAATGTTATCGCCTTTCACAGATGCTGAGTTTTCTCCTCCGCATTTTGGTTCGGAGGTGGATTTGGTGACATCCGACAATGTGGTATTGAAATGCTACCTGATTCGAGCAGCTCATAACCCGGTAATATATGGAAACCATAGTTCCGTATGCTTCTACTGACTTAATCGCTTCTAGTCGCCACAAGCTACTGTTATTTTGTTCCACGGAAATGGGTATCATGTATGGCAACACACGCCCTGCGCCCAAGGTTTCCATAGCTTAAAGTGTAACGTTCTGATGGTATCGTATCGAGGGTGCGCCAAACGTTGGCCGCTTCATCCTATAGCACATTAACACTACCTGTTTTCAGCTACGGAAGTTCCAAAGGGGTACCCACGGAGCGAGGTAAGGTAAACATCACGGCCTCACCTGTGCGTAATCTGAACGGCCTCAGGTCTACGCCGGGATGCACAAGCTGCTCTAGACTTCGTTCTGGCTGATCCACAGCTATCTTCTGTGCCAATAGTGCGCGTCTATCTTTCTTTGCGCGGAGTTGATCTTATTATCAACTACTATTATTCAAAAGGTTCTGCACGGCCACTCCTTAGGAGGTGCTGTAGCCATAGATCTGGTCAGCCGAAACCCGACAAAGGTCAGCATTCACCCATCTAAACTGTTACCCTCAATATCCCCTATCAATTTTCATGAAATAGGTTCAAGCGCTCATCGTGGAAAACACCTTTCTCTCTATACGAACCGTTGCTCGTGACCTTCCTTGGATTCGTTTCTTTTCCTTTTTCGTACACCAGAAATGGGATTCAGCGTCCAAGATATCCTCCATCCCCAGGACGACTCCCATACTGATGCTCCATGGTGAACGAGACGAAGTCGTTCCCAAGAGGCACATGCGCGAGCTATGGGCTCTCGCCCGTCGACGTTCGTCAGGCTTGGGTGTAAAGGACAACCCTCCACTAAGGGATAAATTTCAACCCTTTCCCCGAGGCCACCATGGTGCGGATCTGTAGTTACTCCTTTGACGAGTTCTAAGCAGTACTTTAGGGGAGATGAACATTCAGCCAGGTTACTGGTCTGCTGTGGACCGCTTCCTCCGGTCTTTAGATGACACCATAACGAGTTGACGACGTTTTACGCTTTCATGATATCAGACAATCCGAGTCTCTGTTTTCTTATATCCAGCAATGTGATCAATTGACATGAATGAAGTGCGGCCAAGTGCCTCATGCATAGTTCCCTTTACTTCGTGAACGATTCGCTTGGAAGAGTCAGTTCAAACGTCTACTCTTGATGTTGTACACAAGGAACGGCGCGCTTGCCTATACATGAACGCGTGGACCGACTCGTTCACATCTTTGTTTCGGCTCGTGCGATACAGTTGCGCCTTTCAAGATTCCATACCGGGATGATTCAGTGTGCTCCACTGATAACCTCGCCTGCGTGGCCCTTTTGAGAGTAAGCAGATCCGCGTGTACGATCATCAACATCAACACCGCCCCACTTGGCGAAACAATCCAGCATGTGGGGTCTGTAATATACAGATTCCCTTATGGTAGCGCTCAGATCGGCACGCTCCATGGGTTTTGTATTCTTCCGCCCGTATCATCAAATCTTCCTAGGTACGCTGGCGGCTTCGTTTCCCCGTTATTGTCTATCCCCTAGTGAATCAATATATGCTAAAGCTTAATCCACGGCAGTTTGGAAACAAAAGGGGGGGGACTCCAATGATGGACATATAGTATCGAATACAATTAATTGCAAAGGTACTAATTGAGCTTCCTACCACCCGGAACGGGCAGCGCTTGTTTTCTACTCCAGGTTATTTTACTTTTTACTATTCTGCTGTGTTCCCCCGTATCGCTGTGTTCTCCATTTTGATGGCGATGAACACCGAGTTCCTAGATGTTGGATCTTTTGATGGGCTGTGAATTTGGTCGATGGTTCTTTTATCTACGGACAATAAACAATTTTGTCGCACGTAACGGTAGGTAATTCTCATCATCACTGAAACGAATTTTTTTGCTGTGGGATCATGGATCGAAGGCACTGCTCGAATAGGTAGGTAGGTAGGTCCTCGTGCTGCTCGGACATCTGTGCTCCTTGCCTGGTTTCTCCACCATCGCCATCAGCAACATTCCGCCAATGGCATCTCCCTCTAATGCCCCACCCACTGCAGCCTTTCTTCCTGCTTCTGATAGCGTGCGTGCGCCACCATCTCGTAAGGGGAAGGGGGAGGGCAGCAGCTCTGGGGGTAGCACCTCCCATGCAAGCGCCTCGAGCAAGCCGGTTTACGTTTATACCGCCGGCGGCCACGAATTGCTGTCTATTCAGAGTATGTCTCGAAGGAGGTCGCCTATGCCACCGATCTCCACACTTTCATATACCGAATTCGTACAGTGAAGCGCACCAGAACGAGATTTCCTGCCCAAAATCTAAGTGGGGGGGGGGGCTATCGTCATTGGGTCTACGATTGGCAGTCAGGGATTTCCGGTTTCTTCTGGTCTGGGCTCAGGCTTACTTAGCGGTCGGTGATCCGCATCGTGTTCTTCCTATGCTGCGTAAAAAGAAGATACAGTCGAGGCGCAAGGAGAGATCTGTCTGTCATTGACCCAGCTGTGCTGACTCGCTCTGCACCACCATCAACGCCGCCGCCTTTGATTGCGAAATCGAGTTGGCCACCTAATGGCAAGTCAGGAGACGAGAGATTTCCCCTCCCCTCAGCGCGAAAGGCCCCCGCGGCCATGACGATTATGCCCCTGGAAGCGCTTCATGGATCACTGATCACTCCTCTGTCCCACCGTACCAGTCCGACGCTGACCTCGCTAGCTCCTCCGCCGCATGACTCAGTTTTATTTTGATGCCTGCCACTCATCATCATCCTTGCCTAAATTATAAATCTTTCTTAATGACGCGCGGATGATTCTCATATGCCAGTGAATTATGATTTGTTGCACTCTGAAAACTGCTCTGACGCTAGCACGTGGTCCCAGAATAGTGCCAGTCAATTTCCGGGGCTGAGGGAACTGGGGACTGACCACTGACCAGGAATGGTATAGCCAGTGGATGTTTTTGTTTGGGTCAGAACCTTCCTTGGCACAAAGAACCGGATTAGTACACTCTGCACTCTGGCGGACAGGTAGAATGGGCTACATGCCTGCGTAAGCTTGCGCCCGGGGAAACTGGCGGTAGGGGGCGATTTCAAGCTGAGCCACATCCATCTGCGCTCAATTAAAATTCAACTGCTGCTATATCATGAGGAGGGAGCGCTGGAACCAGCTCATATAAAACTGTGCACCCGGGAAAGCCGAGGATGAGGATGAGAGACCGCTTCTTATAGGTTATGACATGACATGACGGGGCCCCCTGTGGCTGGAGTCAATAAGGTCAACAAAGTCAGCGCCCCTCGAGAGCTTGTGTTGTACCGTTCGATGGTGGTGGTCGATCTGGTGGGAAGAGTGATCGCTGACATGGCAGCCGTTACAGATTACGTCTTGGAGAAACCGAGTATATTTTTGTGCTCGGGATCAAGCAAAGAATAACGAATTGATTATTATCATCTCGGGTATTGGCTAGCGAATTCGAAGACGGCGGTCGAGACGCTAGTACATACAGTGTCGTGGTCAGGTGCAAGGATGACCTGCAGAGACGCCTTTAGAGAATATTTATTAGTCCATGGTCGGCATACAGGGGATTATGATGCGGCGAGACTAGACCGTGAACCTGGAAAATGGAATGCGCCGACACCGATGGGACAAATGCCAATGTGATAGCAGCAAATACATATTTCATGATAACGTTTCGAGGCTCGCAAAGGAATGAATGAGTCTTCCTCCCCGCTCTTGAGAGCTTTTTATTCCGAGCGATAGTTCTGTATCCATCACAAACACGGAAAAAGCAGGGATTTTCTGGAGGGGTGGTCGAATGCAATCAGAGGATAGATTTCCTGGTGATAAGGCATTTAAAAGCAAACGGTTGGGACGTCGTTGCTCCGACTGGGGTAAGGCGATTAGATTAGGCAAGGCCGCCAGTAGTTGAGAACTATATTTCACAGAACCAGATCCGAGAGCTGATGTCTGTAAGGGCAACATTGTCACCAGGGAATATCTGCTTGGGGGAATAGCATTAAGAGGACCAGATATAAGCCAGTGTCTGTAAAGCTTTGAGTAAGACAGACAGACGTATTCGGAACATTCGCCTGGTTCAATTTAGGAACGATCGCAGGCATGCACAAATGACTAGCGGCATTTCGGCACCATGATTTGGGCTGAAATAACAATTATTTTTGGTCTCGATCTTGACGCGCCCAACCTTAACCACGACGGCCATCATGTCGACAAGGGCAAGGAGCAACAATGCCGGTATCGGTATCGCGTCTCATGACCTCGCAGTGATCAGGGCTACAAACTTTCGCTTCAGAAGGGCCTTTTGGCGACGTACTGTGGAACTTTCCGGATCGCAGCAACGGTGAGTGCGTCGAGAACCAGTTCGTAATATTTACCCTTTGATTTAGCTTCCTTGGGTATTTGAGGACGCGCCAGACCGCACCGATCTTCGGTCTGGTTTGTTATCCCAACAGGGCTCCGTTTACCTCGCCCGCGAAGAAAGAAGCAGGGTGGAGGGGTCCCAAGACTCGTAACTTCCATTCTTTTCATACGGTCCCGCGCCAGCGGTCAGATGGTGGCAGGTGCGCGCGCGGACGGTTCATCTGATTATCACGCGCTAACGCTTTGGGGAGCAGGCTGCTACGGGCTGATGTGTATAGTCATAAGACGATGCAGACATCCCGGCAAGGGCTCCGTTGATTGTACTCGTTACTGTCCTATTGGAAGGGCTAGGATACATAGGCTCCGCATGAAAACACGAGGCCTCCACCTGTGCAGTCTGAACAGATGCCGGTTGCAATGGTCGAAATCTAGACATCCTGAACTCTAATCCGCGTATCCGGAGAGGTTGGACCCGCGACTCGTCGTTCGGCTTTGTGCGTTTTCTTTTCATTCATTCAGGTCGGGCAGGGCATTCATAATAGTGATCATCTTTTCAGATATGAGTTGAAAGAATCTACTTACGGCATTCATATGAATATCAAACGTCATAAGCAGGTGCTAATTCTTGGAAGCTGCTTAATTTCTACTGTCTCCTGTCTCAACGTCCTTTTTGGAAAAGGAGTGTGTAGGCATGTTATATCATAGCTTGACCGTATAATAGCCGGTCTGTGTTTTGTGTAATTGGTGAGTCTCGGATTTCGCGGTTACAATTTAGCTTTGCAATGTCGGTGACCATCGCAGCCCCACTTTTATCCGCTGTGAGTCTGTATAAGAATGCTATCTTTGTGCATTCATCGGATGGTCTTTCCTTGTTCTTTTTCCCTATCGATGACTCTGGCAAGCACTAATCCATTCATTCATTTCCAGGTGCTCGGGTGTATACTGGGTTTTGCCAAGGTCGGTCGGAAAACGCCCGCAAAGTCAAGTAAAGAACGGAAGCTTACGACACCTACCGTGGCAGTCGCGCGCGTCATACAGGAATCCTTATCTTTCAGGTACGAAATGCTTTATCTACGATCATTGTTTCATTTCTCATTCCTCGTATAGCTGATATTAATGAACGCCGGACCAGTTACGCGCCTTTAAAGGGACTTCTACTCGTCCTGCTACTAGCTATGAACAAAGTTCATATCCTGGTGTGGAGGTCCGTGCGGAACGTATCGATATCGTGGGGACAATTCGTAGCCGCGGCGTTCCGTGATACGCGATAAGAGTCCAAGATGTATGTCAAGGTTGCAGTGAGTTTATTCTCTTGATATTTCTTCGAAGCGCTAACATTACTTTTAGATTTGTCCGTATCTGATATGTCAGGATCTGATTGCCTGTGCCTAGGAAACGGCTGATGTTTTAATGTCCGGTGTCGTCAATTGCATCCTATTGCATCTTCTCTGTACAAATTTACGCGCTGCAACCCCAGGTACCTGAGGCATTATTACCTCAAGAATATGAGAAAAGACGCAAAATTGCAGGATTCAGCAACCTCGTATTGGTCGGATCAGTCAACTTTTTTCCCGAGAGAGCTGTGAAGAACCCGCAAATCGCCGTGACGAGTTCTTTCAAATGTATGGGCCCCGAGGTCTGAATTCATACATGGCCGACATCCTGTGGCGTCGCATAATCCTTTTAAGGATATCTTCAACCCTCCCTTCGAGCAAGGCTGCAAAAATCGTTATCTTCCGACCTAGACCCTCTGACCTATCAATCAATCCAGGAGTGAAAGGAACCAACAAGTCCCCCAGCCCAACGCGTGTTTTCGGTGTGCCACTTTTCGTTTTTCCAAATATCTGACATTCGTTCTCACCTTCCCTAGGACGTCTGATAGAATACTGCGAGTATGGTCGAGCTTTCCAGGCAGGCAGGTTTGTCCTGTTTTTACTATGGAGCCAATTCAGAGTCGGTCCAGTTCCATCCGCATCACTGAGCCGGCGTAGCAAATGAAAGTGTCACAAGTTATCCGAAATGAAGACTTGTGGGTGTAGGAAAAAAGGGACCCGGTCCGGTAGACGTTCACATCACCGCGTTTGTCCACCCTCTTCGGATGGTGATAGTATGCGTTGGTATGACAGCGTCCTTGTCTGACGGATGGCATACCACAGAGCTGTATTCTGCGCGCACTCCCCAGGGCCCTTCTCTTCTCTTCCTGGGATGCTGATCGATCGAGGGAGGCCGCCGCCCCCATTTCATTTCATTTTACATACAGATCCCCCCCTCAAAATTAGCTTCCATTGATTTTCACATCCCATCTCGAGAACCTGTACAAATTAGCCCTCAGGAGTGGGTGGGTGGGAACGCATTGTTTATTCTCCTTCGCGTTATCGCCGGGGGACCCTGATTATAAGTGTTCGGTGGGCAACGCGTCACCTTCGGGGCCCATTCTAGGAGATGAGGATCACAGGACCCAGCGGTCGCGTCACATATTGGTGGTGGGACGCTTGTCAGCTGAGGTCGCGGTGAGGCAAGATCACGACATGTGTATGCACGTCCCCAGGATATTGACGTGTCGTACGACTAGAAGCAAGGGGCGGCTCGTTGTCGTTCTCCATTGATGATTGCGATATTGTCACTAAAATTGGGTCCTGGTCTAGGCGTTCCCATCCCCGGTCTAAATAGACTCGGCTTGCATGAATGTCATGTCATGCGTTGCTTGGTTGCTAACCTCGGAGAAAGGAAACATCGTTTCTCGATTCAGTTGCGCCAGGAGGGATAGGTTGAGCTCTTTTCAACCGACCGAGGCTCTCTGTCCAGGTGATGATCTGTGACCGCAAGGGTTTCGTTCAGTTCTTCGCCACTCGGAACAGTTCTGCAAGTCACCGAAGTGGTCCTCGTGAAAGCTTTGGGTGCTTCAATGTTATGTTGCAAGTCATGTGTGCAATATTGCGCCTTGGATGGGGCTGCAAGACGCCACTTCATATTACTCTCCACGTAACTTGTTCCGGTCTGCCGGTTTCGGGATCGCCACAACTTGTGACTCCTGATTTTCTGCTAATATATAGCATTTCATCGTGTTGGACTAATCTGCTTGGGGGTCGACGTTGGACGTTTACGCGGGTTTTGGTTTGTCTGTGCTATCTTAACAGTTCTTATCTTAGTGGCCGGATTCCGGATTCCCGAAGCCCCTTCCATTTCCCACTTCACGTTCGATTGGAATCACTGGCAGCGAGTGGGTCCTCCTCCCCTTGTTATACGCGTACACCGTACCGATGACAAAGGCCGGCCGTTCTATTCCGCTTTAGAGTCCCTTATCTGCTTGCTTCTCTCTCTACTCTCTACGATGGTTTGAAGCCTACACGAGGCAGTGCCGGTTGGTTGCCGTGAACGTGTTAACTGAATTCGTTCCCGAAACGAACTAGTCCAATTGACGCCAAAAACAAATCTTGATCTGCTTCTTGGGTCAATGATGCCTGGGTGAGGGTCCTTTGTTATAAATACGCTGCGCCCTCGAATCTTTACGTATTTGGATTCTTCGCTTTTTCTTACGCCAGGTATAAAAGGTCATCATCGTTCGCTTGGGTTTTGCAAGCCCCCACCCCCCCCGCCCTCCCCCCTCCACCTCAACACCTTCCCTCACTTCCCCCACGCACTATGCAACGAGGACCCCTACCGTACATTCTGGAAGACAGGACCGGCTCCAACACCGGCTCCGACTTTGACGACATCTACGACCGACTCTTCTTCCGCGTGGCGCGTCCCGCGTCGTCCCCAACCCAAACGCCGACGACTATGATCTACAACATGCACCGCCGAGCGTCCCGCCACCGGGACACTCTGCCCTTCACGCAAGACCCCATCGTCGTGCTCGATTTCCTGCACGACGAGTCGCTCGGAACCGTGTCGTTCGTTCGGCCCGCCGGGAAGGTGTCCCAGGCTATGTCCAAGTATCTCAGGAAGACATCCTTGTTTGGATCGTGAGTTGTTCTTCAACCCCCCCCCCCCC